TAAAAAGAACTTTCTGGCAGATATGTAGTAGTCAGGAGTGTAGACTCCACACTCACAGGGTTCAAATCTTGGCTGTGAGTTCATTAAGATAGGCTAAATTGCTGGGGTAAACAGACAAGGATACGTGTTCTGGCTCACAGATAGTGGACGGTGGTACTTGTTTGTTTTTCTGGATTATTTAGCAGTTTCAGGAGAATATTTCTTTTTTGGCATGTGGCATTTCCTCCATGTGGCCACTCAGGAGCCTGGGGTCTTGATATTCCTGGAGCATTTAGGTAGACCAACCGTGGAAGAGAAAAGCCAGCTATTTTGTAAAAGTCAGGGGTAGAAATGCAGACAAATTTCTACCTACCTTCTTGGGGTGGGGGCAATATGGTCATGTAGCCACGACTATTGCAAGGGAGGCTGGGAAATATACTCTAACTATATTTTTAGATATTCCTTCTGTTAGGTCATCTAATTCAGAATTCCCTGAAATGGTAGGGATGTTCTAGATCTGTGGGTTTTTTTTAATACAATAGCTGCTAGTCATGTGTTGCTATAGAACATTTGAAATGTGGCTACTGAATTGAGATTAAAATCTCATTTACGTATAATTAAGTAGCCAGACGTGGCTTGGGGCTCTGATATCAGACAGTGCAGTTATAGAGCAAAGAGGGGAGGGAGCTGAGCAAATAGGCCTCGATTTCTGCCAGGCACTTGCTAGGCACTGATGACTGAGCCTCGTCGGGTGTGTTTTCTCACTTCCCTCGACTGAAAAAATGATTGTAGGAAGAGAATCCATCTCTCCAGACTATTGGACGATGGAGATCATTCAGCCAAAGCACCACAGTGAGTGCCCAGCCAGTGTCAGACCATCCACCTATGGCTGAAGGCAGGGATAATATGTGGCAATCATGAGGGAGGGCTTCCTTCCCCTCTAAATATTTCCATTTGCTTCAACAGAGCTAATCTACTTGTTTATCTCCTCTGCGTTGTGTATTTCAAACCTAGTTCAAATGTCCCATCTCCACAAAGCCCTCCAGGTGTGGCCTCTCCAGGTGTGGCCTCTCCAGGTGTGGCTTCTCCAGGTGTAACCTCTCCAGGTGCATGATAGTCCTGATGCTTTGTGGGCTGTCCAGCACCTGCAGCAGTGAACTGAGGGAGCTCATTTTGTCTTGAGCTTCTCTCCGCCTCACCTTTCCCACTCTGCCCAGCAGAATGCTTTGTGTATTTTGGGACATTTGGCAACACATGCCTATTGCGTTGAGTTGAATTCATTGGGTGCTGAGAGGGTTGCAAGGACACAGTTCCTGAACATGAGAGCCAGACTCCATCTGCATGGCACAAAACAAGGCCAGAGTTTTGGGCAACTTCTCAGGTCACTGAACCTATGTAGACATCCAAATGCAGCCACCTCACTGGTGTGGGGTTTGCAGAGTTCTTTTGGACGTTTGTACGAGTTTTCTTCTCCCACATTTCTCTATAAAAATAGCCTTCTAGTTCACATGCCTTTTACCACATGCCTTTTCCCACTGTCTGTCTACTTCTGGCAAAGTTCCTTACCAGAAACTGCCAAGGAGAACTGGAACCACTCAATTTGGCAGCCTGGACATGGGTCCAGTGAGCTATATAAGTGCTCTGTGGGAGCAAAGCCACCCAGAACACATCCCATGGTCTCTGAGGCAACCCTGACAGTGTCCCTCCCAACTAGCTTCTGTCATTTTGACATCCACCTAAAAAAAAAAAAATCTCGAGTATGCCTCTCAATACTCTGTATTCTCATGAGTTTATTGATTTTTCTTATTATAAATAAGCTTGTTTAGAGCTTCCCAATTAGTCATTCAGCACATGCTTGCTGAGGCCCTGCTTTGTGTCAGATATTATTCTGGTGTTTAAGATTTGAAACAGACGGAATTCTCATGTTCAGGGAGCTTTCGTTCTGGTTGGGTAGGAAGAAAAGAAACGTCATGTGCCAATAAGTTCCACGAAGGCAAAGAAAGCAGGAAGTCTCTTGTGTCATAAAAATCACTCCAAAACTTAGTGACCTAAAGTAACACCTTATTAGTTCTTGTGAGTTCGTGGCTTGGCTGGGCTCCCTGGGATCACTGAGGAGGCTGTAGTGCCTGGAGGCTCAGAGAGGACTAAGGAGTCTACCACAGCCTCAGCGCTGCTGTCCACTCATCCTCCCCATAGAGTTCACCACTCATGAGTCTCATTTGGGTGGCCTTACAGTCTGCTGTGAGGATTCCTAGGTTGTGAAGGCAGAGGCTGCAAGGCCTTATGACTTAGGGCCAGGTCACACTATTCCTTCTGTCTTGTATTGCTCACTGCTACTGACAAGGCCAAGCAAGTCTTCAGAGTGACACATCTTTACTCTTTACAGAAATATAAAATTCCTCGTGGGCAAGAATCAAGAATTCCGAAGGGAGCTGAATCAAGTTTAAAGGGGACACTTGATTTTCAAACACTGAGATGTGCAGATGAACCAGTAATGTGCTGCCACGTTAGGAGAGGAGAAATTCAGAAGAGGGAGAGGTGAATTGTAATGTAACATGGAGGCAGAGTGGGTGACAGGTTGTGTTGTTTGAAATACACTGGTTGGAGAAGGTTTCTCTAAAGAGGGGTGTCTTAGGGAGGGGCCTGAGGGAAGTAAGTAGCCATACAAATACCCGGAGGAAGGATATTCTAGGTAGAGGGAATATAGAGCTACCAAAGGGTCTCAGGCTAGACCTCTTCAATGCTTTTTGTTAGAGACAATGGGATAGCAAGTGTTTTGAGTGAAGAAACGTCCTTGTTACTTATGGAAAATATAACTCTTCCTGGGCAACAATGGAAAGTTCCTGAAAGAACTGAACCCAGGTGAAAGGGGGCCACTTGACAGTGAAACACTGAGCTATGAAGATCAACATTTATGGAGTTGAAGATTCAAAAGGTGCCTATCTCTGTCCCCTGCCATCTGCTCTTGTGCTCCTCACCTGATGCACTAGGTGACTTGTGCAGCCCTTGATAGAACTCCAAGAACCCCAGAGTTAGAAAAATCCTGTTTTCAGCCTCAGCACCTCTGCTTTCAGTCATCTTGCCCCCCCATTTGTCCACAGCCTTGTCCTCACACAGCCTGTGGGAATGTCTTTGTGAGCAGATCAAACTGTGATACATGGGAGAGCAAAGTGTCTGGCTTACTAAAGGAGGGGGCAGAGCAGAGGGGTTTTCTGGTATAATTACCCAAGGTCGACAGGGCAGTCTGAGGGTAATGGGTAATTAGCATTTGTGCAGAGGGGGACAATTATCTAGCACACTGACTGCTGGACGCTTGTCACTGATCCTCTGGCCTCCTGGGCTGGGTTCCTGGCTCTACCTGTGCCCTATTAAGTGTAATGACCCTCCTGTGCAGAAGAGCCTCTCATTATCTCTCTGTTAACATAATATTTGTCCACAAAACTCTGCCAAGCTACTTTGCAATTAAAAGGCCTCCAAATAGTCCCCTTCGGTGGCCTTGGACAGCCATTAAAGTTGTTGGGCTTTAAAAGGCTGAAAACATGTGCTAGGGTCCTCCCTGAAAGGGTTAAGAAGCTGACACCTCCCTGAAGCTGACACCCACATATGCTTCCAAAGCTTGGGACTGTGTACCCCAGAAACAGGCTTCAGAGCATCAAGACCCCCTACCAAATCAGGCACGTTACACATAGGCTAATCCACGGCAACCGAGTGCCAAAACTCATTACTTTTTGAAAGTTGCTGTCTCTTCTGAAGACTGTTACAGCCCTGAGAGAGGGCTATTACACAAGGAAGCAAAACTTTCTGAAAGTCCTCTGAGGCTATTCCCAGAAAGCAAGGAAGGCAATTGTAAAGAGGGTAGCCACCCAGGCTGGCAAGCAGCTACAGAAACAATCCTTCTTCATCGTTGTGCTCAAGAACCTGGCTTTCTGCAGGTGTCACCTGCCTGTGGGTTTGTCTACTTGTCAAGAGCAGTTCTGTGTCTCCTGAGGAAAATTAAAATTAGATAGAATCTGGCCGTCAGCCTTTCAGTCACTCCTCTCCTCCTTTTACCCTACCATTGCTGCCCAAGGGCACAACCAAAAGGTCTCTTGAAGGACTGGCAAAGATGAAGTTGTGCTTACTTGCAGGTCAGCCAGTATTGACTTCTATAGCCTATAGTAAGTATCGTTATACACATATCTTCACACACTGGTACGGACTTCTCTGTACAATATGGACATAAGAGAGCCTGAGTATATGAAATTCAATTAGAAAAGATATCAAACTGTTAAAAGTCGTACACATTTAGCTTATTAGAAAGCTGGAGGTCCCTCCTTCTGGCCAACTTGGCCTACTGCCCCTCTAAAAGCTTTCTTTCATTGTTTTCTGATTATGCATGTGATAAATGTTCCTTGTATAAAAGAAAAATGGAAAGTGCAGCAAAATGGAAGAGAAAGTAAAGACGAACTCCCATGCCATCACTCAAAGAAAACCAATATCAGCCAGGTGTGTCGACATACAACCAAAACTCCAACACTGTGGAGTCTAAAGCTGAAGGATCAAAAGTCCAAGTCCACCTGAGATACACTGGGAGATCTTTGTCTCAAAAACAAGCCAGCAGAGGCTATAGCTAAAGTAGCTGTAATCTGAGGAACTCTCTGGAATCACTAGACTAGTAATGTGTTAAAGATCGCTTCCTTATCTCTCTTCTTCCATCCCATGAATCCAAAGACTTAAAATAGACTTTGCTGAACTTTTTAGAGATTATTCTGAGGTAGGCAGATCCAGATATGCACACTCCTAAAATATATCCCCACTCAAAACAGTTCTGATGCCAGGAAAGCTCCAAGCCCAAGGATTTGTGGAGTAGAAAATGGAGTACAAACATTCAGAAAATGTGTTTTCAGACCTTGGCAGCTGGATCCAACAAATTGGAAAACCCATCTCCTGGGCCAACCCTACAGCCAAGTTTCCATGTCTCGGGGACCCTGACATGCCCCGTTAAGCCTCTGAGCTAATGACTGCCCTGCTTTTCATTCCAGAGACCTGAACTATAATGAGCTGCAGGAGTTCCCCGTGGCTATCCGGACCCTGGGCAGGCTGCAGGAATTGTAAGATCTTCTGCTGGTGTTTTTTGGGTGCTTCTCCCAGGAGCAGAGGCCAGCTCATTCACCAAATTGCCTCCTATGGTCTTTGTGACTGGTCCTTGAAAGAGCTGTGGCTGGAACGACTCCCGCCCCCACACCATAACTCCCAGAGCAGCAGTAGACAGAAATCTTGGTAGATTGGCTTTGAACATTTCTTGGGGGTGTCTGGTCAACATAAATGGCTTTGGGCCCTTCAAGCCTGGGAGTATAAATGCAAGAAACCACCTCTTGCAGCCTGGACGTGGCTTTGGACTATCTATATCTAAAGAAGACTGGTCTATAGGGTTCCTCTTTAATACCATGCCTAAAAGGATTGAGAAATTGACTCTGGAGCCCCATGGCCATTTATTATTATGGTTGTTTCAATTGTGTGTGCGTGTGCATACAAGTGTGTGCATGATGCATGTGTGTGTGTGTCTGTGTGTGTCTGTGTGTGTGTGTGTCTGTGTGTGTGGTGCACATGCCCACAGCACATGTGTGGAGGTCAGAGGACAACTCTATGGAGCTTGTTTCTCTTCTATATTTAGGTTTATATATATATATGCAGGTTCCAGGGGTTGAACTCAGGTTGCACAGGAAGCACCTTTACCTGCTGAGTCATCTTACCTTCCCAGCCATTTATGATGTTTGAATATTCACCAGACTGGGTGCTGTGCTTAGTGTTAGTATAAAATAATGGTAAGGTTAACATGGGGTCCTCTAAAAAGGATCCCTCTGCTCATTTATGACACAAAGGAGCATCCGTGAAACAGGAACAAGACAAAGCAAGCAACATATGATTCCAGCCTTATGCTGTGGTATAGTATGTTGGCTAAAATAGCTATGGGAAATCAGAATGACGGCTCACTGTGGATGGAGGTCTCCTGAGCCTGGTCTCAAAGGATGAGTGGGATTCAGATGGCAATGAGGGTTGTTTTAGTCAGTAGAGCAGTACAAAGCACAGACCTGACAGGAAGTGGTTAAGGCAGAGAGGGTGATCACAGAAGATACACCAACCTTCATGGGGAGTGTGCTCACTGACCTCAGGGATCTAATGTACAGCTATACTAGAATCCAGTTAAGGAGACAAGGAGGTTCATGATTTTCTTTTTGGAGAAAAAATGTACACATTTAGGTATGAGTCCATCCATCCATCAGTCCGTCCATTCATCCATCCATCCATCCATCCATCCATCCATCCATCCATCCATCCATGCATGCATCATCTACTGAGAGAAAGCTGCCTGAGGACAGAGCCTCTATCATATAAATCTCTCAACCTCTCAGAACTTAACCTAGCCCAAGACACAAAAGAGATATTCCAACAAACACGATGAGTTGAAAGAAGGAAGGAACCAACAAGCCTTGGTGGGTAGCACTGGCCAGAGATATCTGAGGAGGAGCCTTGAGTGACAACATGGAGGTGAAAGGGATGATGGGAAACATGAGATGGAGAGAAGTGAGCATGTGCTAGGACACAGAAAGCCAGAGCCTTCTGGTAGGAGGGGGAATGTTGAGAGGCCTACCCAGACTGGGCTGTGTGCGAATTTCCAGACCAACAAGTAGGTTCTTGGGAAAGTCCTTCTCACACACTCTTGGCTTGCTCAGTAGGGACCTACCATGGCTTCTGCCACAGATGACCAAGGACCTGAACTTAACTACTCACTCTGGAGTTATTCTCACAGGCTTTCTGAAGCCTGAGAACTGTCCCTGGTTCACTCCCAACACACACAGACACACACAGACACTCTCTCTCTCTCTCTCTCTCTCTCTCTCTCTCTCTCTCTCTCTCTCACACACACACACACACACACACACACACACACACACACACACACACACACGGGAAGGCTGAGTATGTTGTTGAATGAGATGAAAATACACAGGCAGGACTGGAAGCTGAGCTTTCCAGGCTGAAGGTCCTTTGATCTCAGGACCTGTCTAGTCAGCTGTCAGAAAGCCCCATGAAGCTCCACGTTCTTCCTCTCCACGCCTCTCTGCAAACCCTCACTGCTCCTGGATGCTGTCTTCCAGGGGTTTCCACAACAACAACATCAAGGCTATCCCAGAGAAAGCCTTCATGGGCAATCCTCTCCTGCAGACAATGTGAGTACTTCTCTGGCTCCTGGTGCTGTATTTTGGGGAAGTTGTGTGTGTGTGGGGGGGGGGGGGATAGAGGGGATGCCCCTAGAAAGAATGTGGGAGGGCTGTTGATCTCTTCCCAGAAGGGTAGGGACTTGAAAAAAGTGAGATCTGAACTAGGGCTCGGGTCTTTTTCTTCCAGACATTTTTATGACAACCCAATCCAGTTTGTGGGAAGGTCGGCATTCCAGTACCTGTCTAAACTGCATACACTGTAAGTGAGCACCAGAGGCTACCATTGGGCTCTGCAGTCCAGACTTCTCCCCTATTCCCTCCTGCTTGCTCTCTCCTGCCCCTACCTCTTAGAGGCAGACCTCTCAGTGGCCAGGCACCGCAGGAGAGGTCTTTGGGGCCCTAGACTTACACTTTCTCAGACCTATCTCAAGATCTGATGGAACTTGATGGTCTCTCTCCACCTTCATTCACAACCTGGTTGCCTCTTCCCATATCTCACATGGATGAAGAGAACCCTTCTTCATACCTGTGGGCACGTCTCTGACCTTTTTGGTCTATTTGGCTCATGGTAGTTGTTCCATACACACCTGCAGTGAATTCTGCATGCCCTTCAGGCTGCTTCTCCATTGCCCTGTGCGCAGCTTCCTGGGGCCCTCACTATGCCGTTGTTCTCATGCTTAGCCTGAAGGAAGTCCTTTGTTTCCTTTCCCAACTCATCTAACTACAAGCCTAAGGTCCCATTTTTTTTAAAACAAGGCTTCCATGGATTGTTTGCAGTGTGCTGTGTTCACTCCACACAGCTAACCTCTAGGCACGTTGCCCTGCTATGTTCCCATTACACTTCCCCCCCTCCCCCATCCCAATCTGTGAGGTAGGTACTCCAGTCCGTTCTACAGAGGAAACCTGAGGTGCATGAACCCAGACCCTTAACTTTCGTTACTGCATCCTTATTGGATGCTACTCTGCTTCCTCGGGGTCTCTCCCACGGGGTTTGTTCTTTTGTGACAAGGTTTCACATGGCCAAGGCTCGTCTCTAACTCCAGATCCTCTAGCTCCCACTTTCCCAGGGCTAAGAGTAAAGGCATGTGATGCCACTCCCAACACTTGTCTTTTAGAGAAGACACTCCCGCCAGGAGCGGTGACACATACTTACCATCTTAGTGCTCTGGAGGCAAAGGCAGGAGGATTGGGGTTTGAGGCTAACTTCTGCTGTACAATAAGTTTGAAGCCAGTCTGGGTTATGGGAGACCCCCATCTCACTACAAAACAGTAACAACATGCAACATTTCGTGTCTCTCATCTGGGTTTGGTTTTGTCTTTTTACAAACCAAAGGCCTCAATGCTGGAGTTGGTGGGCTCAGTCTCAGCCCAGATGGACTGGGCAGGGCTGTATCGATTTAAGAAAGTGATTGGGAGCTAGGTATAGTGATGTATGCCTTTGATCTCATCACTCAGGAGGCAGAGACTAGCCTGGTCTATGTAATGAGTTCCAGGACATCCAGTTAGAACTATATAAAAAAAAAAAACCTGAACTAACAAATTATTATAAACATGGCTAAACTTCCCACGGTGCCAAAATGGCTAATTCGAGGGAGGCTTGGGGGAAATGACACATTCCCCAAAAGGTAAAGCCCCTGAGCAGGAAAAGACTGAAGCCGAGAACACACATGTGGACACGCCTGATCCACCCCTCCAGAGCCTGTTTTCTCTGTTTGCAGATCCTTGAATGGTGCCACTGATATCCGGGAGTTCCCAGACCTCAAAGGCACCACTAGCCTGGAGATCCTGTGAGTGGCTTCCCTTTCCCTCCACCGGGGACTCTTCCACCTCCCTTCATCTGGATGGCTGTCCAGGCCACATGCTCCTCCTGTCACCCTTCCTCTAGTCTGCCTATGCTACTGGCTCAGCCCCAGGGCTTTGGCTATCTCCAGATGTGGTGCTGCCTGCAGGCAAGGCAGGGGCAGCAGGAAGTGGGGAGGAGGCTGGTATTCCTCTGTAGTGCTTAGATTTGTCAGATCTGGCTTCAGAGCTCCTAATCCTGAGCCATGGTACACTGAGGACTGACTTTGAGAGGCTTGATTCCAACAATGTCTCCGTGCTCTGCTTTGCATCATGCGGATAGGTATATAATAGGCCCTCAAAATACAATGCACCCTGGGAGAAGTACGTAGTAGGCCGTCAACACATATCAAATGATAGAAAGCAACTATGCACTTAATGTGAATGGTAGGAAGTCAACTCCCTGCCCGACCACACTGCTCATTTATGGCGTGGCTGGGCTGGCACCTTCCTCTGTGCCTCTTATTGTCTTCTTCCTAGCTCAGTGGCAAGTGGAAAATTTTCCATGAAAGTAATAATAGTTTTCCGAGGATGACCTTGGCCTTGGGAGTTTTTTCTAGGGCTACCCTGTGCCTAATCCGAGCTCATTCTCCAGTCTGCCCTCACGACCGTCTGCACCCTAACACTGTCTCCTTCCCCTAGGCACAGGGATCAAAGTGTGTTCCCATGATCCTACTGGAGCCGTTTCCTAGCTCCCCCTCGCCATGGCTGTCCCTCCCCTTGAAGGCCCCAAGAGCAGGGAAGACTTACTTACTCCCTAAGGCCCAGTATTGCGGGACCATTATGAGAGGTGGGGTGTGGGTGCGGTGAAGGTATATGGGTAGATTTGGATCTGTAGGAACCATCGAACAAGCAGAGCCCATAGATCGAGGCTCTCTTTCTCTCTACTTCCCATCTTAGCTCGCCTAGGTCAGGGAAACTCAGCGCTCAGAGGCAGGAGCCTGCTACTTCCTGTTCCCGTAGCCCCGCCCCTTCCCTGTGTTTCCCACTGCTCTCTCTTGTCAGCTCTGGCCTCCCATGACAACATCAGGTCCAGTGTTAGAGATGGGTGGCTGGGAATGGCAGGGCTCTGGGCCTGGTGCCAGCTTTGTCTCTGTTCCCCGTGCAGGACCTTGACCCGCGCAGGCATCAGACTGCTCCCACCAGGAATGTGCCAGCAGCTGCCTAGGCTCCGAATCCTGTGAGTGGCTCATGACGGTTCTACAGTCCTAGCATTGTATCCCTGTCCCTGTGTCACAGTGAAAGCCTCGGCTGCGTCTGTGGAACTTGGTCCCATCTCTTTTGGGAGAGTGGTCAACACAGACTCCTGCTGAGAATCTGGGGAGACTGTCCTCTCTTGTTCAAGAGGAAGGACTTTGGTCTCTGGAGTTGGATCTCAGTGGTCTGAGACCAAGTCTGCTTCTCACTAGCTATGTTCATTTGGATTTATTCCTTAATGTCTCAGAATTTAAACTTTCTGTTTAAAATGAGAGTCAATTTGTGAGACCTGAAAACTGTCTGTGTTTAATGCACATGCCACATAATAGGGGCTTGGCATCATTAGACAAGGGACTTAATTGCTTCTGGTATTCTGAAGCTACTTAAGTTGGCTCAGTTTTTCTTCCTACCTGGATTCTAACTTCAGTCTAAGGCTGCTGCCTAGGGAGCTTATAAGCAGCTCAAGATGGGTACATTGACATCTGGAGATGTGGGCTCCAGACCAAATGTCTACTAACTATCAGTGTGACTTTGGGCAGGTCCTATGCTGAGGACCCAGGCCTTAAGTTCCTTGCCTAAGGGAAGGGTTGGGCCAGATGAGGGTTCCCAGCATTTCTTTTCTCTGCTAGCTCGGTAAATGGTGATTATCTGCACCATTTCCATGGGAATACTATTTCCATAAGTGACACTGAGCATCTTGCTCAGCAATGCCCATATTTCTTACTGACTGCTTCAGCACCCTATGCCCCAGTGTTGGCCTTTCTCCTCATCTCCATATTCCTCACTTTGAGCTGTTTTCCTCAGGGTCCTGCAGGATGACATGTTCATAAGGCAGCCCTGATGAAAAACCAAAAGCCAGCTTGGTTCTCTGTAGGCTTAGTTCTCTGTGGGGCTTAGCGGGAGGAGGGAGAGAAATCTAATGGAGGAGACTGGTACGGTACCATGAGATGGCCATCCTGTGTTCCTACAGAGCAGCACAGCCCTGACCACAGTGCTTTCCCTGCCTCCATCTCCTGCCTGCTACCCTCATATAGATACTGCTTCCTCCTGAGCTGGGCTCTGTCTCTTCCCCAGGGAGCTGTCTCATAATCAGATTGAGGAGCTTCCCAGCCTGCACAGATGTCAGAAGTTGGAGGAAATGTAAGTCTGAGGTCGGCTAGGGCCAAAGTCATGCAAGGGAGACTGGGCAGGTCTGAGAGAGGGAGTCAGGGCTTAAGCATGTTCTAGCCCTTCTTTCTTCTCAGTCTGTTGAACCCAAATGTAGGGTTGGGGGCTCAGCAAGGCCTGGGCACATCCCCTAGGACTCACAATAGATGATTTTACTAGGAACAGGTGCCCAAAGGAGTTTCAGGATAGCCCCTGCTGAGGCAATAGCAACAATAAAGCACATTTCGATTAAGCCAGCGGAGGGCCAGGGCCACTGTGTCGCTCTATGTGAGACACAAGAAGTCTTTGGAGGAACTGGAAACAGCCTAGGTTTGGGAGTATGTGTTTCCATGTTCCATGACCCATCCGCATTCACTCGTACATGTGTGCTTACGAATACAAAAATAAGCATGGTTTCATATGAGCCTTCAGCATCACAAGGAAGAGCTCACTTTAAAATTTCTTTGAGCCCCATTTGCCTATCTCCAATTTTCTTAAATGACTATGTCGTCTGAGTTCCCTGTACCTGTCCCTGATTCTAGGCAGGGCAATGCTTTATGGGGCCATTACAGGGAAGATATATCTGAGTTTGTCTGGTTTGTCTGAGTGACGATGTCTTTGACATTGTTGGAGTCCAGGAGCTATCTCCTAGTCAGATAATAAGTCTACTAAACTCTGCTTCTCAATTCAATGCAGTCACTTGATTACCCAGGGACTGGATAGTGTCTGCTGCTAGGCTAGGGTCTGCAGGACCCATGGCTGTCAGGAAAGTAGGGGGCAGTTCAGCCGAGCTGGGAGCCAGGCCCGGTGGGAACCCTGGAAGCTGACTCCCTTTTGGGCCACAGGGATGGTTTTGTGGCTTTGTCTCCTGACCCACTTACCCAAGGCAACCGGATCCCCTTGTGTTCCCTTTAATTCTGGTGACTTCCGCGGGCCGGGCCTTTTTTCCTGTGCCAGGAGAAGTGGGGGGCTCTCCTTTCTTCCTTCCAGTGCTTGAGGGGCGTGGATCAGAGCCAGAGTCTGGGCCTGCAGGCTCATCTAGTCTCTCTTGCTGCTCTAGTGGCCTCCGGCATAACCGGATCTGGGAAATTGGTGCGGATACCTTCAGCCAGCTGAGCTCCTTGCAAGCTCTGTGAGTACCTGCAGCACCCAGGGGTGGGATCTGGAGGACTCCCGTGTCCCCTCCAACTTCATTTCCATAGCATATGTGTCCAGTTTAAGCACTCATTGCATGTATGTTTATTTCTTTTCCATAGCCCTTACACACACACACACACACACACACACACACACACACACACACACACAGAGCACTTCCTCATTCAGACAGTCATGCAGACCCTTCTCCAGTATTACCCAGGATGTTCTGAGGTTCTAGAATCAAGACATGATGGCTTCATTCCCAAGACTACAAGCAGGTTTGGAATTAGGCAGCAGTAAGAACCCGAAGGCTTCAAGCCACTGCTGCTTGGGAAGGTCAGATGGAAAGTATGTGAGAGCAAGCCCAGGATAGGCCCAGGATAGGAACAATGCCTTTCCCACGTGTTCCTGTCCTCTCCTACCTCCTGCTTTCTGCTCACAGAGACTTGAGTTGGAATGCCATCCGTGCCATCCACCCCGAGGCTTTCTCAACGCTTCGATCCTTGGTTAAGCTGTGAGTACCCCTTGAACTGTCTTCCAGGATGCTGAGGGCCAAGCAGGACTGAGGGCTGTTTGGTGATGCAGGAGGGCCACCACTGAGCAGGGACTTGTACAAATGTTTCACCACACATCACAGGGAGGTCTGAGAGGCCTAATCAATCATCCTAAGTGTGTGTTTGACACACTGTGAGGACTGGTAAACAGAGAGCCTGCTTCCTGCAAACCCTGGAATATCATCTGCTAATGTTCTGCAAGGTTTTGGCAGCCTTGGTCCTCATCGTGCTCCCTCCCCTCACTTCTCCCCTGGCCTCTACAGCCTCTGCATTCACCAACGAAGAGGACATATGTGTCTGAACTTCTCAGTTCAAGAGGATGACGGTTGATAGGGAACCCAGGGTCTCAGAGAGCCACAAGGCAGGAAGGAACCACGAATCCTTTAAATCTCCTAGGATGCAAGCAGAGAGTATTCAGGGCTGGTGCATGCTCTTTGTGTCAGGCTGAAAAGAGCTTCTGAACTGGTTGCCACACACTGTGTGGGACAGGTTATTAGCTATACAAGGGTTCCTGCTTAAGGAGGCACTGGCACCCTCCCTGCCTGCCATGTTGTGTGTCCCAAAGGCATTCATTCCTACATAGAGACCTTTCTAACTACCACAAAGACTCCTCAAGGCCCATGGCCTTGGTCATTATCCAGTCACAGACCCTTACTACACTGATGACTTCTCCAAGGTCTAGGAGGAGAAGCCTGCTTAAGGACCTGTCATGACTCCTGTGTGGTATGCAGTCCCCCTCACTAGTCTGTGGCTCTCTGGGCTCCAGGCCTTGGTCTTGTAAAATTCTCACCTCCATCTCCTCTCTCTTTGCCATACTCCTGCCAGCTAGGTTGGACAGATATTTTTATCCTTTGAAAGATGAGGCCATTGGAACTTGGGCAGATTTGTGACTCTCTTTGGTTACACAGGGAATTGGTGACAGTGCCAGGTTTCCTGCCTGCCAGTCCAGGGCTGTTTCCACGACACACAGTCTGTGGTCCTAGTGTTTGCATTGGACTCCTGGCTTAGTCTAATAAAGTCTCCAGCAGAGGTTGTGTATGTCCTCACCGCTGGCTACCAGGCAGTGTGTCTGCAAGGCAGAATGGGTGATCCAATGCCTGATTGGGGCTGGATGACCAACTTTGTCCTACCTTATCCAGTCATCAGATAGAAGCAAAGGGAATACATGTGATATAGGCAACTAGCAGAGAGGTCTCCCAAGGTGGTGAGCAAGGATTCCTAGATGGGTCCCAGGCACAGAAGCTACAGTTGTGGAGCTCTGTTACCTATAGATTGGGACAATTTGACATTAATTTACAAGAGCCCCATAGCTATCACCCAAAGTTTTTTGAATGAATGAGTGATTGAGTTAACAGAGGGGGTCTCTAGAAACCCCTAAGCCTCAGAGCACGCACTGTCCCCTGTGTTTATCTTCTGTTCTTTGCTCCTTTCCTCTCACTTCATCCCAGGCACACTGGCCACACCCTCAACAAAACCCCGCCCCCTCAACAGTCCCACTGATTGCCAGTAACCCTGATCATGCACTGTCCTAGGGACCTGACTGACAACCAGCTGACCACACTGCCCCTGGCTGGGCTGGGAGGCCTGATGCACCTGAAGCTCAAAGGGAACTTGGCCCTGTCTCAGGCCTTCTCCAAGGACAGCTTCCCAAAACTGAGGTGAGAGCTTGGCTTGCCCTCTGCCGGAGGAGGTGTGTCCCAGACAGCTTGAGAACAGGGAGACTGAAAAGCCACAGGGTCTCACCCTGAGAGTGGCCTGGTAGCTTGAAGTTTGGCTCCACTGACTTCCTGTCAGCTAACCAGGGGCATGGCTCTCTTTCCTCCTACCTCTTCCTCCCCATCCCAACCACCAATCTAAGGACACTGGGACCTGAGAGGAAGGGAGTGAGCCGAGCAGAGCTTCTCCAGCTCTCCTTATTCCTTGCCTGCTTCTCCACAGCCTGGTGAGCCCATCCCCACTTAGGCATCATCTGTGGCACAGAATCAGGGCAGAGCCCAGGGCACCGATGAGTGGAAAGCGAGCTGGACAGCCAGTCCCTGGTGCTAATGACATCCAGGCTTCCTCCATGTAGTGGCGGCAGAAGAGCAGCCTGTGTGGCCCAAGCTTTGTCTGCTGTAAGCTAATGAGATGCCCAAGGCATCTGTCCTCGCCCTCAGAGGGCACAACATCCAGTTCTGTTATGCCAGGAGCTGGGCAGGGGACAGCGTGTTGGTTTCACAGAAGACAAGGGTGAAGAGTCACTGGGGAAATTGTTGCTTAAAAAAGAGAAAGAAAGGAAGAGGGAAAGAAAGAAAGAAAGAAAGAAAGAAAGAAAGAAAGAAAGAAAGAAAGAAAGAAAGGAAGGAAGGAAGGAAGAAGGAAGAGAGGAAGGAAGGAAAGGGGCTGGAGAGATGGCTCAGTAGTTCAGAGCCCTTGCTGCACAGTTCTGATAATAGGAGTTGGTATCACAGCACCTATATAATAAGCTGGTATCCCATACATGCCTATAATCCCACCTCTAAGGAGTACAGAGACGGGAAGATGACCTGAGTTTGCTGGCTTCTAGATTAGCCAAGAAAACAGGCCAAGTTCAGGAGGAAACCTTGTCTCAATGAAATAGTTAGAGAGTAATGGAGAAGGAGGGTGCTTGACACCCTCTTCTGGTGTCTGCTAGTGTGAAGAGAAGTGTGTTCATACACACTCAAGTATAAAGAAAGAAAGAAAGACAGGTGTTGTGCATGGTCCTACGTACCTGGGAGGTGAAATAAGGAAGATGGGTGGTTCAAGGTTATCCTTGGCTTCAGGTGGAGTCTGAGGCCAGCCTGGGTCACAGGAGACCCTGTCTTGAAAGAAAAAAGAAAAGGAGGGACAGGGAGGAAAAGGAGAGAAAGAGAGGGAAGGAAAGACAGAGTAGGGAAGGAGAGAAAGAAAAATAAAAAGACTCTATGCCCCCTTTCTCCAGCACTTGGGATCCAACCCAAGGGGCGTGTGCCTGCCAGACAAGTGTTCCCTCGATGAGTCACACCCCAGCCTCTGACTCCTTAAATATTAGACAAGAGTTACTGCTGAGGAGCAAAACGCCCTGGGTTCTGTGTGACCTTGGAGAAATTGCTCCCACCTCAGAGCCTCCTGTGGGGACTTCTAACTCAATAGGCAGAAGGCTTCTTTCTCCCTCTCAGTCAAGCTGAATGAAAAGAAGACTACAATCTCTCCAGAGTCCTTTGAGGTTGGGAATCAGGCTTCAAGATTCCTCTAAAGAAACGTCTAGAGTTGTGGTTCTCTCAACCCGTGGTCTCAAACCCTAAAGGGGTAGACTAACTCCTTTACAGGGGTCACCTAAAACCATCAGAAACACAGATATTTATATTATGATTCATAATATAAACTACAAATGTCAAAAGAAATAATTTTATGGTTGCAGGTCACCACAACATAAGAAACTGTGTTAAAGGGTCTCAGCATTAGGACGGTTGAGAACTGCTGCTCTAGAGGGAACAGGGTGCTCTGGGGTTGAAGACCATGTGCTGAGGGTATCCACACTAAGGTCTTAGATCTCAAACACACTAAGGTAGCCTCTCCCCGATCCTAGGATCCTGGAGGTGCCCTATGCTTACCAGTGCTGTGCCTATGGCATCTGTGCCAACTTCTTCAAGACCTCTGGGCAGTGGCAGGCCGAAGACTTTCATCCAGAGGAAGAGGAGGCACCAAAGAGGCCTCTGGGTATCCTTGCTGGACAAGCTGAGAACCACTGTGAGTGCCTGGGGACCCTGGGCTGCAGGTGTTGGGGGCTGAAGAGAAAAATCTTGAAGAGAGGTTTAGAGAAGTATTAGTAGGATCCTTGTGATCTGGAAGGAACTGGCCCACTGTTTGCACACTCTGTTTCATTGTTGAAAAAGAATGATCGTAAGGATGGGAGCAGGTATGTCAATACCTTCCCAGCCTTTGCAGCCCCCTCATGCAGCCCTCTCAGCCTCTCCCTGCCCCATGGGTCACCCAATTTGTCTTAGTGGCCACCCTTTGCAGCCCTTCACCCTTTGGTTGTTCTCAGAAGACAATTAGCACAGCAAACAATGATGATAGCATTAAATTAATTGAACTAAACCTGTTTCTGGAGCGGGGAGGGGGCTTACCCTGTGTCCTAGAACTAAACAGAACATTGCAAGGTAGCATTGCTACCAGGGCGGACATCCTTTGCCTCTGGTTCTTCCTATGAGTTCACATGTGAAATTTAAGTGGCCACTGAGTACGTGGCCCTGCTGAGTGAACAGATTGTCTTGAGCCAGATATATCTATTTCTGGAAGAATTGGGGTAAAGAGAAAGTTGGAAGTAGGTAGCTGGGGGGTTATAAGGGGTTGTCTATAAAGTATGTCTTGGGAGAAGGGAAAGAAGGGTGCTATTCTCTCTTCAGGCCCTATGTTCCCAACTGCAAGTACAGTTAGGATAGAGAAAGGAGTCCTTTCAGTGGAGATTTCATTTTCCATCTTTAGCATCTCCTAGTGTCTCATAGAAGGTGAACAGGAAAAAATAGGTCTAAAGCTGGGTTTGGTGCTGCCACACACACACACACCAGGATTCTAGCAGTCCCAGGGGAAGGCAAGAGGCTCAGGTGTCCCACGTTATCCTCGTCTACATAACCAGCTTAAGGCTAGTCTGGGCTACACAACATCGTGTACATGAGATGCTTGTGTACAGCATCTCATGCTGGTGTTATAGTGTAGAGAGAACTCAGTCCGGGCCCAATAACACCATGTACCATTTGGTTTGCCTTCAACATATTTTAACCTGAGCTTAACTTCCTTATCTTTCAGTAAAAACAGATAATACATTTCTCAATGGCTGTGAGGAAGGACGGGAGGGTTCCATTCGAGGCCAAGTGTGTTAGTCAGTGGGGACAGTGTCATTGTATAATCTAGAACACAGATTATGGAAGTCAAATCTTGTAGTGTCTGGGGATCTCTGAGAACATCCCTCCTAGGGATGAAACAGGAGTGGTAATGGAAACAGGACAGAAGCATCTCCCAAAGTGGGTACAGACCCTAAGGAGGAGGAGGAAGAGGAGGAAAAGGAGGGGGAGGAGCCCAGCAACTATCAGGGCCAGCAGACAGCTATCCCCTAGGGACAGTCCCGGATGTCTGCTGCACACTCCTTGGGGGAGTGAAAGGGGGCTGGAAAGAGAAATGGAAATTTTCCTTCCACAAGGTGAAACTTTCCGCTGGGCTTAGGTCTTGGAGAACCACGAGCCTGTTGAGTTAGTGGGCTGCCTGCAGCCTGTAACAGGAGCTGGGGCAGGGCCCCCCACTTCCTGTGAAAGCAAAGGAGCAGAAAGAAAGCCAGGAGCTGCTGTTCCAGCCAGATTCGATTTCCTCTTCATTTGAAGAGTGGTTACTTAACACCTTGGCCGTGACTTTCCCAGCCTCAGACAGTCTGTAGGTCTCACCTCCTGTATTTCATTCATGCATTTTGATTTCAAAGAGTCACTGAAATCCTTTCTGGAGCAGATGGGCAGGTGGGGAATGAGAGGTAGAAAAGAAAGGAAATGCCAGGACTCTGTGGGTACACTCTGGCCTTCCACCTGCCCTGAAGCTGTTCGGATTAAGGGCAGCTCCATAACCTTCCAGGCTTCTGGGAAACTCCTAACAGATACTTACCTGTGTAAATGGGGAGAAAAGAGCTACACAGGAACCTGACTTTGTGAGCCAAAGTCATCTGCTTATTCTCCTATGACAGAGGGAGCTGATGCACTTTGACCCTCAGACATCAGTCTCAGAACAGAAACCACTGGGGTGTGTGTGTAGATCTTTGTGGCTATGAGGGCCAGGGACTGATGCTGCCTGTCTTCCTCCATTGCTTTCCACCTTTCTTCCTAAGACTAGGCCTTCCACTGAGGCCAGAGATCAAGGATTGGCTACACTGATTGTCCAGGGAGATACAGGGATCCTCCTATGCCCCTCAACCCCAGCCTCCCCATCTCAATGTTGTCTTCCCCATCTGTGTGTCCCATCTGTGCTAGAGATGCAGATGCACGCCACTGTGCCTGGCTGTTATGTGTTTGCTGAGGCTCTGAACTCAAGTCTTCATGTTTGCTACTGAGAAAGGTTTCATGTAGCCCAGACTTACTTCATACTTGCTTTGTAGTGAGGATGACCTTGAACTCCTGATCTTCCTGCCTTTACCTAACAAATTCTGGAATCACAGGCATGTCCCACCATGCCCAGCATCATCATTTCTCCTTGTCCTCCCTCCCACCCCTCCACCCCCACCCCCACCCCTGCACTCTCCATACCGCCCTCTTCCTTCTCCACCCCCTCCTCTTCCTTTTTTTTTTTTTGGCCTTGGCTCCCAGCTTCCAATATTCTTCTTCATGTGCAGTGTTCATAACAGGACATGGAACTGCAATGGTAGGCTAACTCGAGGAGGAACTATGTAATCACTAGCTCTCTTTATTAGAGCAGCCATGAGCCACACTGTGCAGTACTCATGGGCTAAAGATGACTAGACACAAGAAAATGCAGAATGGTGGAGAGTGAAATATCCCTTGCAGAGAACTAGAAGTATGCATTATCCACAAGTAGAGACCATGTAGCTGTCCGAATACTGGCGCCCAAGAGTAGAAATGGCAGGCCTATTGAATGAGCAGTGTTGAACAGTTAGGTAAAGGGACATCAGCTTAAATAAAAGACATTAACTTTTGTCTTAACTGACTCTAGACATATTCTATTTTCCCTTCTTAGATGACCTAGATCTGGATGAGCTCCAGATGGAGACAGAGGACTCAAAGCCACACCCCAGTGTCCAGTGCAGCCCTGTTCCAGGTGAGAGGGGTGGCTGGGGAGCTGGGGAGCTGGGGAGCTGGGGAGCTGGGGAGGGGACACCAGATTGCCTGGGTGAGAAGCCAGTTTAGCTTGTCTACAGTCTATGTTGCAGATATGTTCTTTGCCCAAAGCTCAACCTGCTGGGGTAAGGGTCGGGTACAATTCTTGTCAAGAGGAGCTGGAGTTTTTCCCATGGGTGTCCACACAGGGGAAGCAGCAGGATTGGGGAAGGTCAAACAGCCTCCACAGGTCAGCCACATTGAAGGTTATATATCTAGGAATTTGTTCTCATGGAAGAAAGAAGTGAGGAAGAATGTCTTGATGTCATTGCTGGGGCTGCCAGGGCTGCTTTTTGAGCATACTCTCAAACACACAACACACACACAGACATACAAATACAGACACACACACACACATACAGACACACACACACACATGCACACACACACACGTGAGCACACACACACACAGACTCACAGGGTCAGGAGAAGCTCTGAAAGATCACCTTCTCCATCCCGAGAAGAGTGAAACCTCTTTATTAATGTCTTCTAGGGTGGAAACACTCTGGATAATTCCTAAAGTTCTTCCTAAGAGCCAGGGAAGCCTTCTCTGGAGTCTAACCTGAGGCCATGAGAGCCATGTTGCTGGAAAGAGAAGAGGAGGGGCTCGTTTTTCTTGATGCCACACAACCTGCAACCTGAGTTTTTATTTGCTTGATTTTAAGTGAAAAGAGTCTCTTCCCTGTGTATAAAATATTAATAGAGCCAGGAATGGTAGTGTGTGCCTTTAATCCCAGTACTCAGGACACAGAGGCACATGGATCTCTGAGTTTGAGGCCAGCCTGGTCTACATCTCAAGTTCCAGGCAGCCAGAGCTACATAGTGAGAACCTGTTTCAAAAAAGCCGAAACAAAACAATAAAATGCCAACAGGCCATGCCAGAAGACAGAACAGTGCTGTATGGGCCAAGATCTGTTCAGAATAAACACAAAATTACAGTTAGCTGTTTTTATTTCATCCCACCTTCGTTTTCCAGATTTCCATATTTCTTTGGCTTAAGCCCTTTGCCCAGAAAGCTTTCAGCCTTGACCTTGCTCCATACCAGCTCTTAGCGCTTAGTGGCAAAGTACGCCCTCTAGTGGAGCATGAGGAAAGAACCCGCGAGCATATTTTGTTGGGAAACCAGTGCTTCAGTGGCTCTACCCCAGGAGTTTCATGTCTGAAAATCAGCAATCAACAAGGATGAGATAAAAAAGAAAGTTCTGGAAAACAAGGTCCAACTTGAACTTGCTTTTAAAATAGCTCATACAAATGGTCAAATAAATTGGTGCCCATTATATGATGGGGTAGTTATTATACAGCCATTAAAAATATGTTTTTTGAGGCTATGAGGAAGTATGCAAAGCTTAATTTAAGGAGAATAAAACCCTAACTTATTTTAAATATATATATTAAAACCTGGAAGAAAATATGCCAAAATAAGGAGTTCTTTTTGAGAGGTGAGGCCATAGACAGTTTAAATTTTTGCCATGCTGTATTTTCAAATTCCCACCTATTATTTCATAATCAGAAAAAAAGTTTTTAAAATAGCTCTCACAGGAGTCTCTTAAATTCCCAAGCTACCTTGCAATACCTTGAAAAACAAGTCTAGAGCCAAAGGAAATTAAATAATATGCCCAAAAGTTACAAGGTGACTTAACAAAAGCATTGGGGAGAGAAATGGAAAAACAACAGGATCTTACCAATCTACTGTGGGGTCAAGTTGGAAAACTGGAGAAGTTCAAAGCATTTTTCTTTGTTTTTAGTTAGGGTCTCACTATCGTCTCAGGTTGGTCTCAAACACATCTTCCTCCTGCCTCAGCTCCCTGAGTGTTGGGATTACAGATGTGAACTACTATACTGTAAAAGTTTTCTATATTTTGATTGTGCTCTTTGTCTTCTAAATACTGATTGCATGACAAACAATGAAGTGTACTCAAAGCAAGGGAGAACCAGCTTAAGTCCACTCAGGACTTCTTGACCATGGAAATGTCAGTAATTGCTTGGGCAGAGTCACCACCATAAAGTGGCTCATAAAGGCTCATTCTGCCTTTGCCCCAGCCATAATATTTCTTCACTCCTGTAGGACAGTTTGTTCCTTCTATCTCTCCTAATCTTGCTTCTTTAGGAAGACTGAGTTTCTTAGCATTTCCTCAGGTCTGGGTTTGCCTCACATCCCGCATCTATTTCTGTGTATTTTCTTTGCAGTTTCCTCATAATTTCTCCCCCCTATTTCCAGGAGTTTTCTGAGTTTTCAAGTCTGCATTTCGGAGACAGAAATTTCGGAGACCTTTTGGTCTCTTTTTGCATTAGGAGTTGTCTGATCATAGAGCCTAGCTTTGCCAGTGAGCTGGGTTCTGGCAGTCCTGGCTCTGGGCTTACATCTGCTCCTCTCTCTCTCATAGGCCCCTTCAAGCCCTGCGAGCACCTCTTTGAGAGCTGGGGCATCCGCCTTGCTGTGTGGGCCATCGTGCTGCTCTCGGTACTCTGTAATGGGCTGGTGCTGCTGACAGTCTTTGCCAGCGGGTCCAGCCCGCTGTCCCCGGTCAAGCTTGTGGTGGGTGCGATCGCAGGCGCCAATGCCCTGACGGGCATTTCCTGCGGTCTCCTGGCCTCGGTGGACGCCTTGACCTTCGGCCAGTTCGCTGAGTATGGTGCCCGCTGGGAGAGCGGGCTGGGCTGCCAGGCTACGGGCTTCCTGGCCGTCTTGGGCTCGGAGGCGTCGGTGCTGCTGCTCACACTGGCGGCTGTGCAGTGCAGCATCTCTGTGACCTGCGTCCGTGCCTACGGGAAGGCGCCGTCGCCGGGCAGCGTCCGCGCAGGCGCACTGGGATGCCTGGCGCTGGCCGGGCTGGCCGCCGCGCTGCCGCTGGCCTCGGTGGGGGAATACGGCGCCTCCCCTCTCTGCCTGCCCTACGCCCCGCCCGAGGGCCGCCCGGCCGCCCTGGGCTTCGCCGTAGCCCTGGTGATGATGAACTCGCTCTGCTTCCTGGTGGTGGCCGGCGCCTACATCAAGCTCTACTGTGACCTGCCTCGCGGTGACTTTGAGGCCGTGTGGGACTGCGCCATGGTGCGGCACGTGGCCTGGCTCATCTTTGCAGATGGCCTCCTCTACTGCCCCGTGGCCTTCCTCAGCTTTGCCTCCATGTTGGGCCTCTTCCCTGTCACCCCCGAGGCTGTCAAGTCGGTCCTTCTGGTGGTGCTGCCTCTGCCTGCCTGCCTCAACCCACTGCTCTACCTGCTCTTCAACCCTCACTTCCGGGATGACCTTCGGAGGCTCTGGCCAAGCCCTCAGTCCCCAGGGCCCCTAGCCTACGCTGCAGCCGGTGAGCTCGAGAAGAGCTCCTGCGACTCCACCCAAGCGCTGGTGGCTTTCTCTGATGTGGATCTTATTCTGGAAGCTTCTGAGGCTGGGCAACCTCCTGGGTTAGAGACCTATGGCTTCCCTTCAGTGACCCTCATCTCCCGTCACCAGCCAGGGGCCACCAGGCTGGAGGGAAACCATTTTGTAGAGCCTGATGGAACCAAGTTTGGGAACCCACAACCTGCCATGAATGGGGAACTGCTGCTGAGGGCAGAGGGAGCCACATTGGCAGGCCGTGGCTCTTCCCGAGTGGAGCCCTCTGGCCCTCTGGCTCTCTCTTTGCCTCTCACTTGTAAATATCCCTCCCTGTTTGTCCTCCCCCCCTGCCCCATGATGGCTGCTTATAAAAGGAAGACAACTACAACTCCAGGGCAGGATGGCCAACGCCCCCGGCTCCACTGTTTTCTCTCCATGGCCATAACCAATGTGTGCTTCCAGGTCTTGCTTTGACTTGGCCTTCAGCTTCACTTTCACCCTGGGCCTTCCCTGTCCAGTCCAAATTTGTATGACAGAGACCTTGGAAATTTATTTAGGAGAAAGGGGGAAAGCAAAAGACAGTGAAAGGGATCGGGAGCTGACAGAGCCACGATCAGTGAGTGCACAGTGAGCAGGAAGGCCTCACAGAGAAAGGCACTGGAAGACAACTACCAAAGACATTGGAGCATCTCCCCTATGACGTGTGGATAGGATATAAAATGTGTTCTGTGTCCCATTAATCTTGACCTATGCTGTGCCAAAGTGCTTCCTGTTAAAATATGCTTTGGAAGACATTGCATATTACGTTCCATTCTTAGAGTCATGGGGTCATGTTAGTGTCTAAAAGGTCCTGAAAATTAGGACCTTTTGGCTTAATTACTACAGCAGTTAAACTTAATTATTTGATGATAGGTTTCTGTTTGCTTTTCATGGAACACTTACAAATCTCTCACAGAACTTAGCATGGTTTTCTCCAGGGGACTCATCTTCACACCATGGAGTGCTACCCTATGATATCACAAGTTGCCACCCTCTTTCAAAGCCCCTATGAAGCTAACCAGGGATGAAGTGCCGAGGTGGCTGGTGATCTCTCATCCAGGACAGATTTTGCATTCTGCTCCCCTCCCCATCCCTCTTATCCTACTGGGGCAGACACTGGAGGAGCCTGCCTCAGCCCCAAGGTGGGGCAGGGAGAAAGAGAACCTTGTGTGTGCTCCTGCCCAGCACCAACCCCAAGCAGTAATGAAATTTCTGCCCTCTGCAAGACAGGATTCTCGGGTCCTGGCAAGATACACATTGTGAAGTCTGTAGCTCTATGGGCTTCCCCGAACTCTATGTTACCTTCATATGGTTTTACAATGTATGCATCCCACCACGGTCCGGACCTCTCTTCTCATCCCAATCCTGTTTCTGGGAGAGACGGAAAACCCAAGAGAAGGGATACTTGTATTGTGGGTATTGCATTTTAGGGAGTGCTGTGGCTATCTGGGACTCCTGGGTGCTCCCAACAGGCCTTTGATCCTTCTGACTCTCCCCTCTTGATTTTCCATACCCTATGCTTCCCCAAGTGCAGTTGAGGGACTACGAAGTGCCTCCGGTCCACTCCAAACACAGGAATTCAATCTCAGGGAGGAGAAGTAAGAAGTGAGGAGAAGCCAAGATTCAGCAATAGATGATGGTTGTTCCTGGGACCGCCCCCACAACACCATTTACACAGAAAGGACTGAATTTGGATCCTGAAGCCCAGTAGAGCACCATTCTCTGCCTGAGTCCTGTTGTGATCCCTAGCCAAGTCCTCTTTCCAAAACCTCCACCTTTAAAACAAGCTGAGAAGGTCCTTCTCTAAGTTTAATAGTTAACTTTCCATAGCTTAGCTTCTCTGATGTCTCCCAAGCGCCCAGTGAAAATTCTTCCATAGGACAACAAATGGGGTGGAGAGATGAGTCAGAAGCCATGCATGGAGCTCAGAACATTTCGAAACCACCTGTGATCCATTGAGTAGCCCCTAGACTTTAGAAGGCTCAGAAGCAGAAAAAGGGTGATTTTATAATTTCTTAGTGTCTTCTCATGGGGTCAGTTTCAGAGTGGGCATTCACTAAAAGATGGCAAATTTATTTGTCAATTGTTTCTAGGTATCTGATCTCCTTATTTCCCCAGGGCTGTGAGAGCCCTTGGTGGGAAGTCCCCCTACCCTGAGAATTGGTGGGTTTTTGTCTTAGTTAGGGTTGTACTGCTGTGAACAGACACCATGACCAAGGCAACTCTTATAAAAACATTTAATTGGGGCTGGCTTACAGGTTCAGAGGTTCAGTTCATTATCATCAAGGCGAGAACATGGCAGAATCCCGGCAGGCATGATGTAGGAGGAGCTGAGAGTTCTACATCTTCATCTGAAGGCTGCTAGCAGAATACACACTTCTAGGCAGTTAGAACTAGTGTATTAAAGTCCACATCCACAGTGACACACCTAGTCAACAAGGCCACACCTCTTAATAGTGCCATTCCCTGGTCCATGTATATACAAACCATCACAATGGCAAAATTGGCATTCTTTTGGGGAGCCTTGACTTCTAGCAAGTTACCTAGATTTTTACCCTGCTCTCTCTGCTTACACCACTATGGGATCATGGTTCCCTTTGCAGTTAAGGAACCAGCCCTGAAGTAGAGTGGAGTGGCCATGTGCTGGTTGTCTAAGAATATAGGCATTGATCCTTAAAGAGGTCTGTATGGAAGTGAGCCAGCCCCTTTGGGCTGCAAGCTTTAGCATGGCACAGTTGTCACTTTACTGTCTGCTTCTAAATCTGGGTATCGGCCAAAGTTCAACTTTCTAATTAAAGAAGAGGCAAGGGAAAAGAGAGTTGGAGTGTCTTCCATAAACTTTTATTTAAAATGTCTAGCCAGGAGTGGTGGTGCATAGCCCAGCATGTAGAATATGGAGGCAGGAAGATCGAGTGTTAGGGTCATCCTCAGCTACATAATGAGTTTGAGGCTAGCCTAGGCTACATGAGACTCTGTCTCAAAAAACAAAAGCAATCAAACAAAACCCCAAAATTCTAGTTCATATACATTTACCCCAAATGAGATTGAGTAGTGAAGTTTCTTTGTGTTTTATTTTGGGCCAAATTCCTAGCAAGCCAGAATGCTATTCCTTTTGATTATCTCCTCTGTGATCAGTTGAAGACCACGTGTCTTCTAAGCAAATTTCCAGGTCTCTGTTCTACATATTTGGATCTGACAAGAAAGACCACAGGTCTTTGACTGGTCACAGGATGAAAAACTGAACTGTTCAGGGCACTTAAGTCCTTTGTTGTTATCATTAACAAAATCTTCCCAAATAGTGGCCATGGAAAAGAATCCACTCCAGGGGCTGAGATGGTGGCGGTGGAAATGTCAAGACTTGGGGTGTACTACCTTGGGCTCTGTGTGCTGTGCCATTAGCTAGTACCAACCACAATCTTCTCTTACAGAGGAGAACTCATGGTGGGCCATGGCTTGTTAAGCATCTCATGAAAATGAAAAACCAAAAACAAATGTAGAGCTAAAATCAGAAGAGTATGAGTTGTCAGGGCTTCTTACTAGACCCTGCTTTTCCTCTTTACCTCCTCTCCTGCTCCTTTGGGATCACTTTGCCAGGACGAGTAAATAAAGGCTTAAAGAGAAGAAAGAAGAGCGTCTCAGGGCGGTAGGCTCTCGGGACAAGGATGGGAGAGGTAGTAGGAACCCTCATCTTCCTGGCCCCAGTCCCTCTGACTACCTCTGCTCTGGGTTACCAAATTCTTTTACCTATGACCCGCCACCTCCACATCCCTTCTGGGTTCCAGTCCCATGCCCCCCCCCCCACCACCCCAGCCATGTGAACTATAAAAATTGTCAAGATGTAAATATCCGGTTCTTCTGTATAATAAAGCACCTATAAAGTA